CATTCTGTTATGTGTATGGCGGATGAACCCAAGCGCAGACAGCAAATGACTTTCACAGGATTTATTAAAGGACAAAAACAGAAAACAAAAGCCCACGATGGGGCAAAACAAGACAGGGCAAGGCAAATACTCAGACAGTAAACTAACAACTACGACAGGAACAGAACTTCTTGATGACAAGACTCTCAACAGATTACTCACGGCAAGACTCACACAACGTATGACGATGTCAAACAATGAACCGACACAGGACAGCAAACACAAGGGGATTATAAAGGGAACACTAATGACAAGGACAGGTGAAACTGACTAGACAATAATGACGAGACGAGGATAACAAGGGGGCGGGGTAACGTAACGAGACAACACAAGCACATGGTCCAAACAATTGGCCATGCGCTTGTACACAAAAACATGATTCTGTCATGATCCTGCCTCACGACTAGGAAAATCAAGGATACTAAGGCAGAATCATGACATGATCATCATTTTAAATCCAATCCAGACAGAGTCTTTGACAAAAATGCGATTTTCTTTCCAGCTTTAAAAAAAAAACTGTCTTTTTTTATTTTTTACTTACCCATATTCAAGTGTTGATAAAATTAATGCATGAAGATAGAATATTTATTTATTCATTTATTTTTTAAAGAGGCTGCTCTGTTTGTTATTTTGATATATTGCATGTTCAGATATTCATACAACACAATATTCTGAGGCCCATGGGCATTTTGTGAAAATGATCAAAAATGCTGGCGCTGGCTGGAAACTTCTTTTTAAAAAATGTTGTCAAAGAAAGAGTTAAAACACTCCAGTCGTTTCCAACGAACATTTTTGAGACCATTTAATGCTAGGTTGTTAAATTTTGACTTGTCAGACTGCAGAACGTGGCTCCAATCTTCCATACTCCAATCCCTATGTTCTTTGGTTAATGCAAGGTGTTTTTTGCAGTTGATAAAACTGATAAATGGTACACAACCTCTCAATCCAGTCTCTTGTAGCTGTTCGTTTACAGTTCAAGGTGAAATTGGAGGTTCCTCACAACTGCACGTCTCATCCAGGTCTTTAGAAGCTGTTTTGAGGTGGTCCCACATTCAGGTGACCTTCAGCCTTCTGTCAAAAGGCTTTCTGGTCTTTCTTGACCAGCCACAGCACTTTACATTCTGCATGGTAGTGGTGTCACTGTGCTTTGAAATAATTATACGGACATTGTGACCATTTACATCCAGCGCATGAACAGATTGACCAGATTTAGCTATTTTAACAATATCCACCTTGGTCACAGAGGACAGCTCCATCCATCTGGCCATTTTCACTAAAACCCACAAAATAACATCTAATAATATACATCTTACCTCCCATATAGTGATTGAATTATAGACTGGGAATGAGTGCAAGCCTGGTATGACCACTTGGCCAAAAAAGACATCCAAGCAATTTGGTGTGTTTCATTGCATCATGACAAATAATCCGATTGAAACATCGAACACGTACATTAGCTTTACACTTTGGGCACAACATACATACAAAATAATTAATAAATATTTAATAAAAAGTTTAAATAAAGTGTAAAGAAACCAATATTCCTAAGTACAAGTTCCAAAGTAAGAACATTTAGCCAGTGTTTTAAATATATCAAAATCATATCTTGGCTTTTTTTTTGTCTTACTATAATATTCAATATATATCTTGCTTTTTATGTTTCAGTTCTTAAACAAGTGTTTTGTTTTTTCAATCATTTTAACCAAACAGACATTGAGGTCAACAGTCAAGTAGTTTCAAAATATTGTTTACCAATAAATGAAGAGGAAGAATGCTATTAATACTGTTGTATTTGTATCATTTTATTTATATAATTATATTTGCAATTCTATTATTATATTTATATATAATTATATTATATTTTTATACCGGTAATTGTATTTACCAGCAAAATGTACATTTTACTAAAATATTTTAAACTGCCCCATGAGACAGTAAAAATTTGAGTGATCACGTGAACTACCACAATTTTGAATTTACTTAAATCGATTTACTGAAAATGGACAGTTAAAACTGATTCATGCAAATGTTTCAAACTCAAAAAAAAATTAAACAATTTTTGCTATACAAGAGGCATTAATAATAGCCTACTTCTCTTTTAAATCTCATACTCATGAGCTGTAAGACAAGAAGGAATGATCTACTAATCATCTAATGATGCAGTATTTATGAAACTTAGTGAAACATTAAAAATCATACCAATATTCATGATACTGCTTAACTGTGAAATAGTAGCAAAATCATCACAAAATATTGTGAATATTCAATATACTGCCCTGCACTACCACAGCTCTAGCATGGCAATACAATATTATTACAACTACAGTAGTCAAAACTTCTGCACTGTAAAGCCATCTTTATAATCAAAGTCACAAGAAATGCTCGTAGCTGCAGATAAACTCAGAATCCAGACTTTAATGACCACATCATGTTTTGTTTCCCTACATTTCATATCTTATCAGAGATAAACCACTATAGGCAATGTCAAATTGACAGACAGATTGTCTGTCCACAGCAGTGTTTGTGTGGCGAAGATATGAATAAACAAGCAGGGTGAAATCCGAAATGTAGTCATTCTATTTTCAAAGTTAGAGCAACCAACATAGTTAATGGCATTACAAAATGAATCCATGAAATTAAGAACTCACTGAGAAGCGGAAGCTTTTCTCGAGATTAAAGAAAATTGCTGAGTCCATCTCTACCTGGCTTTCTACTTGCTGAGGAGCTCTGGTAGTATAAATGTGAGTGGGCATGAAGCTGGGAAAAATTGGGATATTTATAAAGAGCTTTGATGCTTTAGAATGTTTATCGAAGAAAAAAAACAAACAATTAAACCTACTCAAATAACTTTTGCTCACTTGAAAACTTAATATTCAGCATTTGCATATTGCTCACATCTGCAGAAGCAGAAATGCCGTTGGCGAGAAGGTCTTTGTCACACCAGAAATAGGTGAAAATAATGCTTACGTTTATTCTCTATACCAGAGTGTGTGATTTCATTGTGGATTACTTGATCATTTTCACTCTGCGGAAAGTTCCGGCGCAGATGTTTCAACAGCCCTGCAGCTTGAGAGAGACAGTGAATAGCATGAAGCCTGCTGTTTTCTAGAGTGTGCCGGATGAGCCCATTTCTATGAAGGGAGACAAAATCTCAGCCAAATTGCGGCACAGATGATAACCAGTCATTTTCTTCATTGATGGATGTCTGAATAAACCATGAACAAGAATATTTCAAGAATCTACAAGAATTATAGGGTAAAAATATTACTAATTAGTAATCAACTAATCCATTGAACTTAAGTGAACTAAATTAATAACTAATGATTTTTACTATTATTATTTTTTTTAGAAATGAATCAACACTGAACTTACTTAAGATGGACAATGACACTATTTTCTTCTAGAGCTACTGTACAGCCAAAACAAACTGCATTATTTGTATTTGTTGCATTATTTTCCTGTTATCACTGTAAAGCTGCTTTGAAACAACCTGGATTGTAAAAAGCGCTACATAAATAAAGGTAACTTGACGTGAAAATTGTGTGATCTAATGCAATTAATTAAACTGCAATTGACTGCAATTAAATAGTTTGCATGAGCTGTGTTGATCATATTGAAGGGAACAGATCAGATCAGATCAGATCACTCTGATCTGTTTGTAACCTACAACAAAAACTCAAAACACTAAAATTTGAAATAAATAAATAAGAGAAAAAGACCATGAGCTCACATGTAGGGATACAAAAACCTGGCCGTTATCGGATCTGCTTATGGTACTGGCGAAAATAAGAAAATACATTTCCTATTTATTATTGCTACATAAACATGATCTTGCAAATTTGATCTCTCCAGAAGAGAGATCTCTCTCACGCGAGTACAGGTATATATACTAGCAGCCTGCTCAGATAACAATGACATATAATAATCACATAATCGAGGTCACGCTGTATCGAGGCGTTTATCTCCGACACTGATCCAACAACATTTTGCTCATTGAAGTCATTGTTACATGTTCACAGGTTTTTTGTCCAGAAGTCATTTATTTCCAGAAGAAGAAAACAGGAGCTGCGTGGAGTTCTGACCATGTTTTTGTGAATCTGATTTGAAGTTTGGTTGCACTGACACATTTAATCAAAACTATTAGTGTGAGGGAAAAATTATCAATACTTTCCCACTAAAACTTATGTTTTAAACACTATTTCTTTGGGCAATTGTGATTAGTTAGGATTTGAAGACAATCAGCTCCCTAGCTTCATAGGTCGTGAATCAGTATATTGTGTACTGGTAAGGACAGTTGGTTCATTACACATTGGGACACTATTTCAGGCAACATGACAACATCCTCTTTACTTGTTACATAAATAAATTATAAATGTTAGCTAGTTTGTTCACTACCTGTCTAGTGATGTATGTTTATGCTGAAATATAAATGGTTTGGATCTTAAAAAAAAACATCTATCGTATATATCATTATATCTAGTGAGCTGGCTCACGTGATTTATTAATTTATCAGCCATCGATGCTTCCTGGTTTTTACAGTGGATTGTGGGACTTTTTAGGAAGACGGCCCTTAAAATGTCCGACTCCCTGTTAAGTGGCCATGAACTAGGGGAGCTGATTGAGACGCACCCATAGACTGTAAGATGTAGTTTCAAACATCCTATTTAACATATTTGTTTTTAGGGCCTTTTGTTCTTTTAACCTTGTTCTTAACAGCAGTAATATGAGAAGTAACTTTACATGTTTATCATGTTACAGTTAACAACAATATTTGTAAAATAAGGATTTTTGCATGCAGGTTGTTACATGCTAGTGCTACTACAGTATAATAACAAAATACTGTATACAGTACACAGTCAAGCATGCCTAATACCACACAAGTGTCCCAGTAGAATTCAAAGCTTAGGCAGGCGGATGAAGGGCGGACTTGATCTTAAATTAAAGACTAAGGGGTGTCTGACCTGTACTGAGCTTGGAAGTGCTCCTGAACGAAACTGTGTCGAGTTCCAGGCTGCTGTGAGTTTGCTGGGCCGGGGCAAGAACTCTCCTCCAATTCCACAGAATCCTGAGAGGTGCAAGCAGAAGGAATGAATGGAAAAAATATATTTAGTTGTTTTTCACATTGGGTTTTGGGATGAAAACTACATATTTTACACAGGGAAAGAATACAGTGAGGTTTTTTTTAAAAAGCATTTAGATTTATTGCATTAAAATGTAAAAAAAAAAATATATATATATCAGAATTTAAAGAGATACAAGCCATGAATGAATGTCTAACTGAGACGGATATAGCCAGTGTTTCTTGTTTTCCATTCATGGAAATCTTATTGCTATACTATGGAGATACATCAACAACACATCAACATTGATCCAATGCATTTGCATTATAGTTCAGAAACTTGAGCTTAGAGTTTTATGTCTGTTGGGTGTTTTGTGCCTAGATTTCTTTGGATTTCGTATCTAAACCTTCCATGTTCTCATGTGTAAATTTCAGGTTTATGTATTTATTACTTTACACTGCAAACATAAAATGACATTCTAGAAAATTGTGTTACAACAGTTTGGGGAAGGTCCTTTTCTGTACCAACATGACAAATGCCCTGTGAGGGTACATACTGTACAGAAGTGATTTACTGAGTGTGGATTTACTGAGAACTTGACTGGCCTGCACAAAGACCAGACCTGAACCCCTATTGAACACCTTTGGGAAGAATGAGCACCAATTATGAGCCAGACCCCATAACCAACATATCAACATATAGGCTAAGATGTGGTTAGCCTAAATGATATTGAGTTACAATTATTAAGAGATGATTTTTATCATTTCATGTACTTTTTAAAATAGGATTGATTAGTTTTTTTTATTATTTTTTATTAGAAGTGTCAGGACGTGGGCATTATGGAAAGTCATATATGAAAAAAATTATAATATAATGCATGTATAAAGGGAGGGAATTAGTTTTTCTCAATCGATTTGATTTCATGTCGCTGTGCTCAAAACAGTTAACACAGTAACCTGAACACTTTGTAATTGTCCTAAAAAGGTTGTACATTTTCCTTCATTTCATGCAAATTACAAATCACATGCATAATTTTCTCAAAACACTGTACACAAAATTCTCAAATGTTTTCACAGTAGGTCATACAGCCAACCAAAACTTTAATGTATCAGGAAAAAACAACTGCAGCTCTTTTTATTGGTTTTACAAAAAAAAAAACCACATCTGTGCATCAACTCACAACGGAGTTAAATTCTCAGTTGCACTTGGAATGTTCTCATTTAGCCCCAAATACATATCTGCTGAGTTAGTAATACACACAACACAGGAAAAGCAAATTTACTAATTGTTTACACAGTTATCTCAATTACAAAAACTATAAAAGGGGAAAAGAAACAAAAAAGAAAAAGAAGAATGGGAAAAGGAAGAGGTATAAGAGTGAGAGGTTTTTGGAGAGGATAGAGGAAGGGTAAAATTGAGAGGAACAGTGGAAGAGGTAGAAAGAGATGAGGGGAAAGGAATAGATTGTATAGGTAGAGGAGATGAGTTGAGGATTTAGGAGAAGCAAGAAGAGCTGAGGATGCAGAAAGAGGAGTAGAGGGAGAAGAGACGAGAGTGGAAGGCACTGGTATTAGTGGAAAGAGCAAGAGAAGAAAAAATAAGAAGACATGGACAGAGGGGAAGGGGAGAGCAAGGTGTAAGAAGAGGGATGAGAGGTAGAAGGATAGAGTATAGATGGGTTTCAAATGGAATCAGAGCCAGCCTCACTGAGCATGGAATATATTATGGTCTTTCCCTGAAAGAAGCTGCATGGACAGAGAGTTCAGCCTAACATGAACATTGTGCCACAGTTAATGTCCCTGGACAACAAGCTGCAATCCACTGGTGTTGTGGCACACAATGCTGTCTTGGGATCCCATAACACGGAAAGGCTTCTCAATTTTTTTAACTCCCTCAATGAAATTCACTTTTCGCAGGGTGAACAGGAGCAAATTGAGCGAAATTGTGTTGTTTGGGTCAATTTCTAATTGCACCATTCAGCACTGGTGCAAGAGTGGTTTGAGCATCACCCGCATTTCAGGACGGTGTTCCTTCCAGCATAATCTCCTCTTGGAGATGGAAAGTATATGATCACAACAACCAAGTCTTCCTCAAGCGATGAAAGAGGCCTGTGGAGAAGTTGAGGCACAAGGATGGATCTAACATTCACAGCTTTTTTCCCCACGATGCATGACTCGCGAAAATACATGAAATTCTTTGACCAAATGTAAATGAGGGACAAGATCTTTAAAGTTAATTGATTCAATGATTGCAGTATACATTTATTTATTTCATTACTTATTTTATTGTTTTGGGGTGAAAACTTCATTAAAGAACACGATTAAAGAACACGAAAAACATGTATTTTCATTCATGTATTTGTGCATCTACATACACAAATCTACAGATACACATCTATAACACACTTGTGGTTTTGATGTTGCTATTTATTTTTGATGAATGCATTACTAGAATTAGCACTGCAGTGCAGTGATACAGAAATGTTTTGCCAACATAAGAGTGTGTTTAGTTTGCTGTGTGAATTGTTTTGAGACCAACTACATTCATTTGAAGAAATACAGAAAAACTGTAATTAGACACTATAGGGGCCATTCTGAGCAGTCCATGATCAAACTTATTTCATTTTCATTTTTATATTGAATGAGGTGCCAGCAATACTTGAACTACCAGTTATTTCTCTAAGAAACTTGGCAAACTATCTAAACCCATAATGAAGATGCACCAGGAAATGCGACGAAGAATTTTACTTTATTGCATTCAAAGATGGTCAAAATGTGGCAAAATTTTAGCAAAACACAAAATACGTACCAATACGTACATATCTGCAGTTTCCAACAGAAATGAACACTAGAGGCAGTAAAAACAGGAAGCACTTTTAATCGTTTTTACACACAATTATGATTACAGGGGCAGCTTATGAATTAATAAAGACTTCACGCGGCTACTTGCACAATAATGGTGCGTTCACGTGCTATGGAAAATATGAAATTTTCCACTTGTGAACTGGTATTTACCAGTGTGTTGTGTTCAAGTGCTTTTGTTGATGGAGATCCAGACCTGTTATTTAGCTAAAACTATTTTAGATTGCTTAAGTGATCTGCTACAGCAAGAAAATGATTTATCAAAACTCAAACGGTAAATAATATGCTGTATATTTTCTAGATCATGAATAGTAAATATTTTTACCATTCATGACTCTTGCGTTGCTCTCCGCCATTTCGAAAAGGTCAGAGGTTATCTCATCTCGGCAATTCATGCATCAAAATATTCTACGAGTTGCCCAGTGGAAAATACCACATGAGGGGGTGTTCATGTGCATTTTCCACGTTGGCTTTTGGTATTTACCATAATTACCATAGCACGTGAACGCACCATAAGACATACTAAGCTTGCTCGGTAGCTCAGCTGGAACATAATTGTAGGCCCTACTTGTGAATCGGAGAGCTCGGGTACGAATCCCGTGAAAGACGAGTCACGGTAAAAGAGCTCAAAGACAAGAGTTCAAAAACAAGCTAAAATGGCATGGTTATGTTTGCATTTTTATGTCACATTTGCTTTTGTTAACATTGTCGGGTAGTTTTAGGGATTAGTGTAGGTGTAGGTTATTTTAAAATGGAGCATTTTAGCGCTACTCACCGGACATTTCAATTCAGAACTGCGCTGATATGTACAAACTCCAATGTAATAAAACGTTGACATATTCATGTTCATCTGTTCCGGAAAAAAACTAAACACGCTTTTAACGCCATTCACTGGACATTTCACTTTGAAACTGTCGTTAAACGCACGGCGCAACGTATTTTGCATTTAGCAAAAATGTTGCCACAGGTACGTTTTTCTAATGTACCTGGGCTGAATAAATGAGAAGAAGCTTTGTATAAAAATAAAATACTGCATTCACGGACATTCTTTTCCTGATGGGATTATAATTCTGCTAATTTTGCTTCCTAAGTTTTTAATAAGGTTATGCAAGGATAAACAGACATGTTCGGTTTGGATGGGATTAAAATCATGTCAAATACCTCTGTGAAACACAAATTTACCTAACCTCCCCAGGGACAACTAGTTCTCCAAACAGGGCTTAAGACATTCAGGGAATTATGGGGAGCAGTCAGAGAAAATGAAACATTAGTCTATGCAGAGGGAGGAGAAAAATGAAACCGTCAGTATGATAAAAGTCATTTGATTATTCAATGCAAATCCTAACTGCAGAATTAAACATGTCCTTACATATAATCTTTCCATATTGGAAGAGAGGGAGATGAATTTATACCGTAACACACACAAAATAAACTAGTATCTTTAGTGAACTAAAAGGCAGAAAGGGTGCTGTCAGACAGTGGTGATAACAATGTCATATTCACACTGAGACTGAGGCACTGAGCGAAAAAGGAAACATTGTTTGTGAGAAGAACTGTTATACAGTAAGTTAGAAGAAGAGACAGAGAGAGATGGAGCATAACTCTCAATCTGGCTGTAGTCTCTTTTCTTATTCATATCAGATGAATTGTCAAGCTTTCGGTGCACACTCGATGAAGCACCTTCTCAAAACTGGGTCAAAAGCCACTTAGCTGGACTTTAGAAGAAAGAATAGATGCCTCAGTTACAAGACTGAGCAGCATTTCTCTCTCTGTCTCTCTCTGTCAGAGTGCATGCTGGGAGTGAACGGAGCGTGGTGAGAGTGAGTGCGTTTGTGGCTGAGTGCTAAAACTTATCTATCTTTTTTTTTTGTGCGTTTGTTCTTTGTGCATTTAATTTTTCATTTTATTAGCATTTAAAGGTGTTCAAGTCTGCAACCAGTGTTGTGCTGGGAGGCATGATAATCCAAAGCACAATGATTTTGATAACAACCCACCGCCATGGAGTAAAGATGAAGTAGTGTGGAGCAGTTCTGGTGGGAGAGATTGTGGGATTGTGGCATCACGGATGAACAATGCAATTTTTCTTCTTTTGAATTCGGTTGAAAAGGCAAATGATGCTGTCCGAAGCGGTGTCGTGTTGAATG